GGACAGGGGCACTATTGTGCATGAACCACATTTGTCGTCTAGTATTAATGGGTACTTCTTCGAGAGCCCCAGGAAGTTATTGCCGAAGGAATTCCAAATAATTTTGAAAGTTCAACCTTGCAGGTAGAGCGATAGACACCAAAATAAAATTTCCTATAATCCTGCACCAGACGTTAACTGATGATTCTTGTTGGAAATGATGCTCTTTTATTGCGTGTGGATTTTCTTCGCTCCACACGTGAGTTTTTCCAATTAAAAACACTTCTACGGATAAAAACAGCTTCATTTGTAAAAGCAATTCTACCGAGAAAAGTGTGATCTCTGTTGTGTAGCTGGAGAAATGGATCCCAAAACGTTAGCTTGCGGTCTGGTTCATGCAAATTTTGTACAGGATGAAAATGGAAACATTATAACTGCTGCGTGTGGAGTACAGTTGAAACGATTTTGCGGCCAACTCCTGTGACTGCTGACAAACGACGAATTTCGGGATTTTTTCATACTCTAGAATTTGTTCCTCGTCTTGTATCTTCCATTTCATGAAATAGACCGAAAGTTTCCAATTTACAAAATTTCAAAATGCCTCAAGTATATTTTTTCGATTTTTTTGCAAACATGGCAAAGTTTGTAACCCGGTTAAATGATTTGGCTTTTTTATTTTTCAACTTTTTAAATACTAAATTCTAAGATTCAAATTTCAAAGTACCTCAAGAATATTTTTTGCAAAAGAAATTTTGCTTTAAAATATAAGAGTCGCTTAAGCCCCGCAACTCTTCAGCCAGGTCTGCATTTTCGTATTCGGGTATCACTGGAATAAGCTTTGAACGATTTTTCACAGTGCCTCAAATACCTACCCAAAAATGTCTATCAGTTCTTGGACTACAAGTATAATTTTGGCTTTTGATAGATATACATTTTTTAAATAGCATAAAATTCTCCACCTATTTCTGATTATTGCGTGTAAAAATTTAAACGTACAAAAAAGTTACAGAAGAATATTCACAAACGGTTGTAGTAAAATGAACGCCCTGTATGATTTAACCTGGTGGGAACATAATCACTGCAAACTTCATGATCACCGACGGATCAGTGTCGACAGTTTGAATCGCACCTATTCAGACACCTGAATAGTTTGCTAGGTACGACTCATCTCCGAACCACCGCATACCACCCAGCAGAAAATGGGATGGTAGAGCGATTTCACCGCCAATTAAAAGCAGCGATAAAATGTCACCAAAACGATCGATGGACTAGCATTCTTCCCACTGTGCTATTAGGAATACGTGCAGCGTGAAAATAAGGCATTCAAGCTACTGCGGCCGACATGGTGTATGGACAACATCTACGCGTACCCAGAGAATTTCTTCATTCCTGCAGGACAGACGAACAGCTCAACACCGAAGCGGATTTTGTTAGGGACCTCAGACGTCATATGGAGAGCTTACGTCCAACCGCAGTTAAACGCCATGGCGAGAAGACGCCATTTATTTTTGCCAACAGCGACACGTTTTAGTGCGTGCGGACAGCGTTAAAACTCAACTACAGACTCCAGATGATGGCCCGTTTACAGTGATCAAACGCGACGACAAAACATTTACGGTGCTAGTGGGTGGCGCGAAGTTTGTCTATAGACAGAGTCAAACCTGCGTATTGTTGCGACAAGTACCAGGAACAAGGACAATAGCCTTCCATCAACATCGAGGTTCGGTATAAGGTTTCGTTTTTCTGACCCGCTGCAGATTCCGTGATGGCATCCATACTGGCAGGGAGGTGTGTGGGTACACATGTCTGCAAGTGACCCATTTTAAGTATTACATCAAGAGCCTGACGCCAACCGGACTAGTGTAACAGTTGCAAGAAAAATAAGCGGGTCGCAACAGGGTTCCAGAAAAGGTCGACAACAGACTGGCGCCAAGGACCAGATACTTACGAACGTTTGCACATCACAAGGACTCTTCAGCTAACGCTCTCCTCGACAACACGTATTCTTTTTCACTAACTAGTTTTCAATAAAAATATTTTTATTTACCGTTGAAAGAGAGTTTTATTTTGCTGCACACCGAAAGCAACTCTCAATGTATTTTGTGCATCATTTAATCGAGATTTATTTAGATGAATGCAAACATTAATACATTGTTATTATAACTTTAATGAACTTTAGTATAATCACTACCATACATTGTAGAGATGATTGTAAACATGAATTCAATTATCTTGAATATTAGCAGCGTAATAATTATTATACCTTATATATTAGTTACCTATTACTTTGGCAACACGTAAGTATACTTAATTATTTTAATGCACATAAACTGATGTTGAAGATTGCTTAGAAGGAAACACAGTAACGATCGAAGCATTGTATCAATGTCCATATTGATGCAACCACTTTGTTATAACAGCTGAGACAGATGAAAGTAGTTTTAATGCACCCGCAAAAAAATTCAAACTACAAAAGCAGATTTTAGTTCCCCGTGATTCTTCTATTGAATATAGAATTTTGACCTTTATGTGTTTACAGCAATAAGTGATTTTGCAAATTGTAAAACTTGTGACGGAAAAATAAAATTTTAAACAGCTTCATAAGAGGTCGTGGTTTTAAAATCGTTTTGCTGTGTGATAAGTGTGAGGAGCGTGCCATAAATTCCACTCCTTTTATTAAGTATTCTTATGCGATAAACAGACGATTTATATTTGTGATGAGAATTCTTGGAATAGGATTGAAAGGTGCAGCTAAATTCTGTGGATTGATGGACATGCCAACTTGCTTGATGCAAAATATCTATTACTTGATTATTGAAAATATTCACTCTTGTGTGAAAGTAGCCACCAAGAAACTTTTCAAAAAAGCTTGTGCTGAAGTAAAAGATGCGACTGCTGAAAACCAAGGTGATGAAAGTTGTGAAGAATTAACAGTATCAGGCGATGGAACCCGGAAAAAACTAGGATACACTTCTTTATACGGAGTAACATCATTGATTGGATATTATACGGGGAAAATTATCAATACAGTTATAAAAAGTTCGTACTTCAAACAATGCGAACTTTGGAAAAAGAACATGAATACTGAGGAGTACAACGATTGGCTAGAAGATCACAAAGATGATTGTTCTGCAAATCATAAAGGCTCTTCAGGAAAAATGGAAGTCGATGGAGTCATTGAAATGTTCAGGCAAATGTATTCATCGAACGATGAATACATTTGCCGTTTGTTATAAAAATTACATCGGTGATGATTACTCCAAAACCCAAACACGTTATCTTATAAACATAATTATCTGTCTTTACCACCTGGTTTTGCTAAAGCTATCTTTCCAATTTATACAGATCTCAGCGATAAAAAATTATTGGAAAGATGTGTTGGTGGTTTTACGCAGAACAACGAGAGCTACAATCAGTTGATATGGAAAATAACTCCAAAAATCGTTCCGCGTGGCTCAAAAATTGTTGAAATAACAGCTTACATCGCTGCCGGGATGTTCAATGAAGGTACAACTTCACTTTTGTATTACATGAATGCAATGGGGCTATCAACTAGGCCCAATACCCATGCCTATGTCGTGAAAGAGGATGCAGAGCGCGTCACGATCTCTGACTTGAGAGCGCATAGGAATATTATGAGCCAGGAAAGAATACCTTTCCAGAAAAAATTCATTCTTTGCCTTGCAACTGCGTATAACCCCATAAATCAGTCATATATATACAGGGTATCCCGTTCATGTTTCAAAAGAACTTATGTGCAAGTTCCTCATGGGAAAATATCGGGGGTAGTTCATATAACATTATTTTCTTAGACGCCCTATTTTCGAGATACAGTGTGTTAAAGTTGTTTCTCTCCAAATGGTTTTTCTTAATTATCTTTAAATCGGCTAACGATGAAAATGTCAAAATTTATACACGAGTAAACATCAACTCGACGTTAAAAATAATTAGGAAACAGACTCGAAGACAGACAGAACAAAATAGCTGCATAATTAAACAAATGAGCAAAACTCGAAATACTACAGTAGATGCTGAAATTGTCCCCCATTTGCTTCCATGCAACTTCATTTTTCTCGAAAATGGTATCTACATGCTGTTGAATTTCGACAAGTATATTTTGTTTTGTAGTATACTTTAGAGTATACAAAACTGTTTAGAAATGTAACTTGATTTTTAACATGTTGTTTTTTCAATTGTACCCCTCCAATTACCTGTATCGGCGACACTGCTTTTCAGAAAAAACCGTTTGCACATTGTTCTTAACGATGTTTGCACTTGTACAAATTTTAATACTTTTATCTTTCGCCGATTTAATGATAATTAAGGAAAACTATTTGGAAAATAACAACTTCAACACTGTAACAGAGCGTTTAAGAAAAAAAACGCTACGTGAACTACCCCCATTATTTTCACATGAGGAACTTGCACACAAGTTTTATATAAACATGAACGGGATATCCTGTATATTAAATATTAATTTCATATGTATTTTATTTCCAAAAGCAAATTTGATTTACAGGTTTATAAGGCTGAGTTTGATTTGAAAACAGGTGATTTGCAAAAAAATAGAGATTGCATTCTAACAATACGATGACGAATGCTGTTAAATGGCAATCAAAAGATATTACATCCCTACAACAAATTTTTAACAATCAATCTAGAATCTATACTGAATTACTCAATATCCAATAATATTGATTCAATGGGTTAATTCTTTATATTTTTCACTATAATAAGCGATTGTTATGGGCCGGCCACACATACAGGCTTTACCGCGCGCTTGCCTGCACAAATCAGTTTGTATCGGGAAGCCCGTACGTGTGGCCGGCAAAACGTTATCTCGCACAAACTGAAAAGCGCGGCTTGCGTAAACTTCGGCTTGTTGAAGATTTTGTTTGTGCAAATTCGGTTTGCACGGTAAAATTTAAGCGTGTGGACGGCGTACAGGTGTTCAGTTCACAGTTCAAGCCGTGTTCTTAGTAGGAATGTAGTGCTTTTTCAACATGTCTGATGTAAGAAGTTATTCAAAGCCATTTATGACCGATTTTATAGAAGTATATAAATCATTGCCATGTCTGTGGCAGATAAAATCAAAAGAATATTCGGATCGCAATAAAAAGAATGCGGCGTATCAAAAACTGATAGAAAAATTAAAGGAGGCTAGTATTTAGTTGTATGCATTTTAGATACAGGTACATGTAGAACTATTGTAGGTAGAAGCAGATGCAAATAGGGATTTTGTGATAAAGAAAATCAACTCATTACGTAGTTCTTATCGCAAAGAAAAGAAAAAGGTATCTGAGTCACTGAAATCGGGTGCTGGCACAGAAGATGTATATACTCCAACACTGTGGTATTACGACTTATTTAAATTTCTAGATCACCAGGAAACACCTAGACGGCCAGTGACAAATTTTGAGGACTCACAGGTATGGGGTAATTGTATAAGGAATGTTAAATTTTAAAGCATGTTAAAAAATATTAAAGCCTGATATTGAATACTGTATTTATTCTATAACAGATACAAGTTAATAAAATTTTATTATTTATTTATGTATCCCCTATGTTACACATTTTGTTTTGCCAAGGAACGCTACCTTCGCTATTGACATAATTTTGAAATAGTTCTCTCGTCTGTTTACCATCGTTTGAAATAGCCTTATAATGCCCTCTTTCAAGGTCAGTTAAATTATAATCATTTGGTTGGAAACCTAGGGATAGAGTGCCCTGAATTGTGTCTTCATAATCCATGCTACCCATTGGTGTATATGTGGCTGAATATTTTCTTCTCAAAAAGTTATGAAGCACACAACACGTCGTAACAATAATATCTATATTGTCAGGGTCTACATTTATGCTGGTATGAAAAATACGGAATCTCGATGCTAATATGCCAAATGCATTCTCCACGACACGTCTAGCTCTTGATAGCCGATAATTAAAAATTCCTCTCTCATTTGTAAGCTCTCTTTGACTAAAAGGCTTTAAAAAGTTGGGAGTTAAGGCAAATGCTTCATCACCGATGAAAACGTAATTAAGTATTTTATTTGAATCATTCAGTTGATCTGGTTCCGGAATGTTTAAAGAATTATTTTTCAATTTATGATAGAATGTTGTGTGCTCAATTACGCCTCCATCTGATACTCTTCCATTTACACCAAATTCGGCGACAATAAACTCGTAGTTTACGTTGACCACTGCCATTAAAATCATACTATGAAACCCTTTATAGTTATAAAAATATGATCCACTTCCTTGCGGAGGTATTATCCTCACATGCTTACCATTCACGGCACCCAAACAATGTGGAAAATTCCATTTTTTTGCAAATTCCTCGGCAATCTGTCTCCATTCTTGTTGGTAGGTTGGGACCTAAAACAACATGGAAAATTATAATACATTTCAATTGCAGGATGAAAATGATATTGAGTCAGTACAAAATTCCCCATCACAGGATCGGCCACCATCATAGGCTTCCATCGGCAATTCGGAGCTGGACACTTTACCTCCTACTCCAACTTCTTCTAACACTTCAGTACCACCAGGAAGGCCATATAATAAAAATAGATAAAGAGAAATAGATAATGTAATACCTTCTGTGGGAAAACGCTTAACTGAAGCAAGAGTTGAAGATAAACACGATATTTTTGGACGAAATGTCGCTAAAAAGCTGAGAAGTTTACCTAATGATCAACGCATTTATTTAGAAAAAATAATTAATGATGCAGTATTTGAAGCAGAGTTAGGAAATCTGACCAGAAATTGTTCTATCCATATTCCGAGGCCTACAACAGAAATGTCATCCAATAGTGCATACAATAATTTTATGCAATCATCTGCTCGTCCCACGCTATACATTCCTTCACAAACGCCTTTGGATAGAGCGTCTCCTAGTAATGTCATCAGCACTCAACCTGTTCAACAAAATGTGGTCGACTTCCTAAAAAGTTACACGCCTCTTTAGCGTGCAATTCTCGAATGTAGTTATGTATTTTTGTAAAGTACAGGGTTTTTCATTATAAATTATCCACCCATAGAAAAAAAAGTTTGAAATAAAAGTTATGTGGTTAAAACTGAATTTTGTTAAAATGTTATCAAAAGTACAGTAGCGTGCAGATTTCAGGCCATACAAACAAATGTATGTTTTTTAATGACGTAGGTTGTATATTATTAATTATTAATAATAATATTCTTTTTTTCCTAATTTCAAAAATGTACCATATGTTACCCCTATCTCATACCGGTTTTGAGTAACTAAACGCCAAATATCTAAGTTAAACTAGTTACTGTAAATATGGAAAAGTTAACATATGGCATATTTTTGAAATCAGGAAAAGGATAATTTCAAAAATTTCGTAATATACAGGGTATTCCATTTAAAAACTAAATATTTTTTATATCCCCTGAAATCGGTACGCTACTGTACTTTTGATACCATTTTAACAAAATTTAAAAACTTTTATTTAAACTTTTTTTCAATTATAGGCAATCATCACGATGATAAGGGGTGAGTAATTTATAATGAATAACCCTGTACATAGACACATACAAGCTAATACTTATGTTAATGGTTTATAATAATACTTTAAAATGTACTATTCCTAAAAAACATAAAAAACTTACCTTAAAGTATTTTTTTATTTAAAACTCTATAGATTGCTCGACATGTGTCCGGAATAATTTGAGATAAAGCCTGATGAGAAATTGTTGCAGAAAACCTTAAATCTCTATATGATCTCCCTGTAGCCAAATATCTGAGAGTACAACTCAATCTTTCATGAGGAGATATAGATTCGCGCATTACCGTATTTTGTCGTATTATTAAGGGAGTCACCAATCCTAGTAATTCAGTATACGCCGTTTCATCCATTCTCATATAATTACGCCAGTCGTCGGGATCTTCTCTTAAATCTTTCATTAAATTTATATGCGAATGTATACTTCTGTTCAAAAGCCATTTTTTGTCCATTTCGTACGATGACGTCTATTTCTTTTTTTTAATAGTGCAAGATAAAAGGAGGCTAATGCCAAAAATTCTTCTCTTGGATACATATTTACGAGAGACTTGAAAACGCATTGATTGCTGCTTCTAGTGCCTGCACGGTCTTCCTGCATCGTGTGGCAACAACACAGTGTTCCGTGTTTATTGAGCAAACCATACCGTGCAGGCAAGTCGCTGACGTGTAGCCGCCGCATTAACGATACGTAGTAAACACCTCACGATCATCAATGCAAGGCATTTTATTCATTGTGTCTTTGCAAATATCGTGATATTAATACATTTTCTCATATTACTAAAATTTTTACATTATATTAACAAATACATAAACTGATTAACCCATCTCTACTAATGATTATCATTGTTTTAATGAAAAACACGTGATATTAAAGAATATTGCGTTATACAATAGTGATCATTAATACTCTAATTTTTTTTCTATGTACTAAGGTAATTTGATTAAATCAGTTTTATTCTTATCCAAGGGAGCTATCCTTGAAGTATGGCAAATTCCGGACACCCTATACCTACAGGGTCTCCGTTAAAGAATGGGCCAAACTTTACCACTACATTCTACAACGAAAATTATGATGCTCATAAATGCTTAGTTTTCGAAATTCAGGGTGTTGACGTTGGCAAAAATAAAAACGATTTTCAGGCATATCTCGGCGATACGTTACGAGATTTTTTTTCTAATTTGGTATGAGGAGTTTTAATGGAGACCTACATCATTTGCTGCGATTTCACGTCAGTACAAAAAACCAGTGGCGTGCAAACTATATTTTCGAGACGCTTTTCTACAAAATAATTGTTACGTCACTGTATAAAGCTGAAATAAATAACATTTTTCAAATTTTCAATAATTTTTCAGCATAAAAGGTATACTTGTTGTATATCGCACCGTTTTTTGAAAAAACTGCGTTAATGTCGGAAAGAAAATGCAGTTCGTGGATAACGTAACTTCATTAATCTCAATATTAATTTAAAATATATTTCCTATCCTTAAGAAACTAAATATCTTAGATCAGAAGAACGGTTTCCCATTCAATTGATAATTTCGGTAAAACGATACACTATACCGATTTTCAGCAAGTATACCTTTTTTATGTAGAATTATCCATGGAATATAATAATGAAGCCCAAATGATTATTAGGTCATTGGCGTAGAAGTTGGGGTAAAAAAATCCCCCTTTACTATCCATTCCTACGCCACTACACTTACAAAAATTTGTAAATTTTACAGTAAATTATGAATATGTGTAAATGTTAACACCAAACCAAATTTGAATCAATTTGTTGCATGCTAAAGATTTAATAAATAATATGATTTTAAAAACCGACCAATACGGTCCTGTACAGTAAAAACGGCGAAGCTTAGACCCTTGCTTTATAAGGAAATTCTGAATTATTTATTGGGTTCTATTTGTGGTTAAAGTTTGATTCACTTGAACTGAAACACCCTGTATACTGTTTACATATGATATTCAAGGTGTTACAGTTGTAAAATATATCTATCAAACAATTAAGAAAACTAAATAAAACAACAACAACAACATTGTTTGTGTTCATAAACATAAATAATTCATAAAATATAGGTAAGTACCAAGAAAAACTAAGAAAAACATTAATTGAACATGAATAATGTCTACGATTATTTTCGAAATGCCCCCCATTTGACTGAATACATGTTCGACATCTTTTTAAGAAATTTATCGGAACAGTGAAAAATGATGGGTTCAGGTTTCTTATAGCATTTGCAGCTGCAACTATTCTATGCAACAAGCCTATTGGTGATAGAGGCAACGCTATAAACAATGACCCCAGAAAGAAATATCAAGCGGATTTAAATCCGAACTACGTTGAGGCCATGAGTGTTAACTTCCTCTTCCTCATCAATGAGGAAATATGTTATCTAAATTGTTTCTTACTATTAGAGGATAATGAGCAGGGGCTTCATTATGTAAATACCACATGTGTAATGTTCAAAGGAATTTTTTTTTGGTAGTTCAATTAAATTAGGTTGTAGAAAGTGCAGATAATGTTGGCCGTTTAAAGATGCCGGAAGTTCAAAAGGCCCAAGAAGATGATCGTCAATAATTATTCCAAACCAAATATTGAACTTAAACTCATGCTGAGAGTGTCGTACAGTCCTTTCATTTGTATTTTCTTCGGCCAACATATAACCATTTTTTTTATATGCCCTTACGGGTAAACGTCGCTTCATCAGTGAATAAAATTTTATTTATAAAAAATAGATCTGCATTTTTCCGTAAGATGAATTGGCAAAAAATTGTTATTGGTAAAAAGTCATTGAGTAATAAATTATGTACTGGTATGTAATGGTATGAGTACAGTTGTTCATGAAGAATTGTGGAAACTGCACTTTTACATAGCCTTACATTTGTGGAAATTCGTCAGATACTCGTGGTTAGATCATCTACCAAATTCAGTAGGTACCTGTTTTTCTTGCCGAATTTATAGGTCTACCATGATTACTTTTTTAAATGCTTTCTCTTAATCTTGCAAATAATCTTAGAGAACAATTTTCGGTCGGGTTGTCTTCAATTAGGATAAATATTTGCGTACTGCCTTGCTGCTGCGCGTTCCTAATTTTCTTGTACATAAACTGCTACCATATCCGTCATTTCACTATTTGTAAACAAATTATGCCGTGGCATTATGCAAGAATAATTTACTTGTACATACTTAAAAATGAAATATCTTTTGTATTCTACGAATTCTACGAAACATTGCGTTAATTACATTTACCTACTAGATAAATAAGTCTCAAAATTACGAAATCACGAACCACACTTCCTTGTCGACTATAAATGCAGTTTTTTTCGAAAACGGTGCCTTTCAGTGATATTCAACAAGTATACCTTTTATCCTGAAAAATCAATGAAAATTATAAAAATGTTATTTATTTACGCAGGGCGTAACATTTATTTTTTAGAAAATATACTTTACTGGCCACTGTTTTATTGTATTGTGAAATCGCAGCAAATGATGTATTTAGGTCTCCGTTAAAACTCTTCATATCAAATTAGAAAAAAAATCCTAATGTATCTCCGAGATATTACTGAAAATAGTTTTTATTTTTTCAACTTCAACAGCCTAAATCTCGAAAAGTAAGCGTTTATGAGTAACGGGCACCCTGTATAGAGATTTATTTTCTTTCCGTAGAAAATCGATGGGGAAGATCCTATCTCAACAAGACCTCCGCTTTTGGTTATAGAATCAATTAAAAATAAACCGATCGACATATGTCGGGTAAGTATGTTTTATTGTCGATTAGTTCGTAGATTATAATATTCCATGGGAGAATTTCCAAACATACAGTAGGCGTAGTACGCGAGCAGTTGCCACCAACTGTTTTATAGCGTGTAGAAATTATATTTTAAAAAATAACAAGCTTAGTAGACCTCAAGATTATATTTATAATTTTGCACAGTACAGTACATATGTTTTTTGGTCGCTATTCATCCATTTGTAGCTATTTTACATATCTCAATTCAGTTTTTTTCTTTCTGCGTTTTAATAAAATTTATAATTTATATGAAATATTGCAGGAATTCATAAACAGAATTGACATATTAGTCCACAGTACAGCCCCCTCCCCCCCCCCCTGGAAAGTTGAGAAACTTTATAACACGTGAGGAGCTTCGTTTTGACGAGTCTACCACACTTTTCCTCTGCGACTTTTCTCGATTCCTACGCTTTTCCACTCGGAAAAGTCCAAAAACATGGCAATTTCCCGAGGGTCTTGAAAAGTCAAGACCACATTTTTTTTAGCTTAAGTTATGGAAATTTTGCAAATTGATTCAATCATAGGTAATTTTTAGTAAAATTAATTGTAAATAATAATTAATTCAGTCAAAAAGTATTGTTGTCCGACAAATTTCAAGCCGCGTTTTGTCAGTCCGACAGCTGGAAATCGGAATATTCACGATTTCATCGATTACCACATGTCGGACAAAAATAACACACGATAGAAAAGTGTTTTTTATAAGCA